GTTCCTGAAGAAATATTTCCAATAAACCAAGGATTGATTCTTTACATCCGATGTATAAAGACTTTTGCTGTCTCATGTACAAAATCATCTTTTGCTGTCAATAATGATTGTGTGACGAACCTCTATAATTTGTTCGATCACTAGGACCCCAATAAATTGGTCCCTGTTGCTAAGGCTAAACGTGTCCATACCCTGAAGTTGGTATGACCTGGCCAAACGCGACAAAGCCGGATACTTCCAAGCCCTGAAGATGGTTTGGGGAGGCTTATGCTCTGCAATTTCAAATCCCAACGTTGATTTGATGAGCTGACGATAAATGTTTCTGAGTCCCCTAAATGATTCAGGAAATTCTTACGATAAAATCGAGTCTATGATGGCATGTTCCAATTAAACATACATAGATATCGGAAACGTCGTTAATTATACCGATATAAAAAATTTAAACAGATTCACGAGAAAGTAGAACACGAATGTCAAGTATCATGTCGGTATAATCAAACAAATAATTTGCTGAACACTTATTTATAATTATTCCGACATATCTTGACTTCAAAAAATCTCTTTATCTTATTATGACAATACACTCACAGAAATGATAAGATGCTTCAAAATAATCGAAATAAAATTAAACATTGAAATTTCATTCATAACTGCATAACGTCGTTACATTCGAAATTCATTTATCAAGAAATCAAAAAAAAAACAACAACAGTAATAATGATATCTAGAAAGTTTGATCTTGATTCTCTTTATTTGTCCCCAACGTCGACGCCCCCTCGGCCATTGAAGATGGAAGTTTTCCAGTATCGGCCTTGTTTTTGTCGACCTCGTCCAGATGGTCTATCAACCTTTGCCCCAAGCGCTGAAACGCTTTCTCTTCTTTTCTTTCCATAGCCTGGAGGACATCGCTCTCTTTTATGATGACCACATCATCGTCCTCATGAACAACTCTATCTTCGTCAGGAGGAACCATCTCTGTCAACCAACCTTTGGCTTGGGCATCATCCTCCGCAACCTTTCTCAAGGCAAAATCGGTAATAGCATCCAATAAATCTTCATCAGAGAGGCCTTCAAGTGTTTCCACGACGAAAGCTTCCGCAATCGTCTCAACACATATGTTCGCCATCTCGGGTTTTTTGGCCTTCTCAACTTCAAGGACCATGTCAGCAAAGGCCCGACGAATTTTATCCTTGCGCTCTTCCGACAAAGGAGCCATATCCAATTCAAGCATCCAGCTTTCTTTTCGCTTCAGAAGTTTGTCAGCAAAATCGCGTTCATCTTGATCAGCCGAAATGTGAGAATTTTTTATCTCGGATTAAGACGATGTTTCTCCAGTTTTTCCAAAAGGAAAATTCGCAGCTCATCGACACTGTAAATACCGTTTTCGATGCGATCGATGACCCAGCGCAACGTTAAAGTGGCATTTAACTCTAAATACCACTCGGTCACGGTATCGTCGCTTAACACCTTGCCAGATTCCATCTTAGCTTTCTTCCCGACTTCTATACCTTCTTGAAATTTATTTTTGGCTACGACCGTCAACTCCGCACGAAGTTTAGTCAATTCATTCAAGTGAGCCTCTCGGCTCCGGATCAACTCGGCATCCTTCTCGGAGCAATCTCTCCGAACTGCCTGTAGCTCAACTCTCAGCTTCGTGAGTTGCTCCTCTTGTTCCTTCACTTTATCCTCAACCTTAGACAGTTGAACCGACATAAGATCGTGGACCAACAACAAATTTTCCTTTTCGGTTTTGAGTGCCCCCACTTCAGTTTGCGCCGCCTTCAATTGTGCGTCCTTCTCTGACATTGACGCCGCGAATTGAGACTTTTCTTCCTCCAAGGAAGCCATTGCTCCCTCCTTCAATCTTAGCTCGTGCTGCTTCTCATCGAGCTCAGAGACCTTACCCCGATAACTCTCCTGGGCCGCAATAAAACTGACAAGTGCTCGTCCCAAACAACCTTTGGCATAACTAAATTTTTGATCATCGGGTAAAGACGCGATCCCGGCGTGAGTCTTCTGATCTCACGACATCAAGGGGACCTTCGCCGTCTTCACTGTCTCATCGGGGAATCGATGATTGTTCGGAACTTTCGGCTCGACAACAGTCTGATACATCGTGAACCAAGGATCAAACACATCTTCTGGCAACTTCAAGTCGGCAGCCTTTTTCTCGTTCACTCTAAGGAACAACTCTCTCAGGATGATCTCAGGCTCTTCCTCCTCCTTGTCTTTGCCCACGCCGGTGTCTTGTCTTTTCTTCATTCTCTCGACCACATGAGACACACTTGATCTCTTACGGCGGTGAACCAGGCCCAAACAGGACTCCTCGGGCACCTCTTGTGAGACTTCGGTTTCAGTAATGAGCTCATTTACCGGCATTATCACTTGTTGTATCGACTCGACAGTGAGTGGTGGCTGATTATCCACGAAGACTGGTTCACTCACAATAGCCGGGCTCGGCTCCACTCTTGTCGACGATGGTTCGCCGATAACGCTTTGAGATCGGTTGGGATTCTTCTTCCAAGCCTTGAGAAGGTTCATGCGTCCTGCCATCTCGGTTGATCGAAGGCTTTTACTTTTTCCAACTTTATTCTTCAAATCCAAGTTCGGATTGCGTCTCCGATGTTCTTCTGCTTCTGTGGGATCTCCAAAACCGAAGTATCCCAACAATGGATAATATACTGCCAGATAAATGATGTCAGGTCAACATTGAAGTTACCGATATGAAACGTAAAAAAAAAAGAGAGAGAAGAGCAGATAAGGTACTCACCCGGTTGAAAAGAATAATCTAGGATTCCAGGCGATAAACCGACAAGCTCTAACCGAGAATCTTTCACCAACCGTTGATATCTTCGCTTGTTTGGAGAATGTTCAAATAATCTGTCAACCCGATCGTACAACAATCCTTCAAATCGGGGCTCTTTCTTTCCTTGTGGTTTGGCTACAATGTCACAAAAGTCCACCTGTTAGCGAAGACAAAAAACAAGAAATTAATACTCGAAATGAAACAAAAAGGGAAATTAACTTACAATAACCAGATTTAACAGCCATTGGGATACTTGTCCCATTGGTAAGAAGGTCGTTAGCAAAGTCGGCACACTGCCAGCCTCCACCAACCCACAACCACTCTTCTTGAAACCCATGGAGTGTGTCGGGAACTTCCGTTATCAGTTCACCAACCTTGACCCTTGACTGAGGTTTACCGACAATTGAAAAGGTAAGAAGTGGGTCTGTTACTTGTCTATCTGGACTTTTCCGGAAAGTAAACATACTCCTCATGTCGCTCGTTGACGACAAATCTTATTTCTTCTCCGCGAAGAGTACGAGGAAACCAATAATCCGCTTCCATGAATTCAGAGCAATTTGACATAAAGTCAATTCCCAATTCCTCAAATATTCAGTGATTATTCGTGGTAGAGGAAATCGTAACCCTGATCTTAAACTCTCATCAAATACGCCGACACACCCCGCCGGTGGACATGTAATCCTTTCCCCAGGATACGGCACAAACAAATGAACCGACGTGGGTACTCGAATTTCACCTCGCAACATGATGACATCAACATCTGTCAGTATGCTCGGCTCACCCTGAAAACTTACTTTTGGATCCGGCCACCTTCTAATAGGTCGTCTCCAATACCTCGGGTCGTCAAGAGCATTTTCTTCTACCTTTTTATCTCCTTCGGTGTCGTTTAGTCGAATACTCAGACACTCAATAAAAACTAGATCCCATCGATTATACTCGGAAAGCAATTCCATCTCCCCAGAATGAACCATATTGATCATCATGACGTCCAGTTCGTCGTCGCCAGAAGATGCCCATGACACACTCATGATTCGAGGAAGAAATATACCGAAACAAATAAACGAAATAAAGAAATAACTCTTACCGCATGAAGAAATTCACAGATCTGAAGAAAGTGCTCTGAGGGGTGCAGTTATGAATCAATAAGTTCGAAGGAAGCAACAAAATTACAAGTAAACAGAAAATTCGATTGTAGAAGGAAATTGAAGACAGAGTAAATCTCAAGGAACGATTTGCTATTTATACTTAACCCTAAAATTCAATAGTGACCGTTGGGAAGAAAAGAAATAGGGACGCGTGAATTGTACTTTCTGATTTCATGAGTGAACACGACCCTTGAGGATTGCGCCTATTAACGGCAGTTACGTGGCCTATAAAAAGTAACCGTTGCCCCGTCAGCGAATGTTGCAATTAGTTCTAGTAAATTGTGCCATTTCAGCTTCCTGTTCCATCTCCGCACCAAGTATTAAGATGTCGGGGAACAACACCAAAAACCGACATGTCTGCTCAAATCAGGGATCTTATGGTATTTTTCAGCATCAATGCCTGATTTTTTTCAAGACACCCATTAATGCTGGGGGCCACCTTGTTGATATGGTTTTCGGTAAACCAAATTACTAATAATCATTAGCACTCAGAGCTCGACAATTAGAAGATTATGTTATCTCAGAGGTTGACATACTCGCGAATTTCAAGTAATCACACATCGGATAAGGATGGGCCAAGAACCGACATCCTCATCAGGTAATCGACATCTCATATCGGTTAAAGCCTAATGAACCGATATCTATGACACGACGAACCGACATCATAAGGCGGTTCCAACTCAGCAAACTCATCATTGTGCTTTGCCAAGTGGCGTATTACAAGAATGAATGGCGATCAGCCGCCATTGACTTTTCCTTGTGAATCATTGTAGTCTCGATAATTTTGTACTATACTATAAAAATAGCAGGAAGAAGCTTCCAAAGAACAAGAACATTATATGAACTATTACATTCAATAGACTGTTGCTTTTCATAACTTTTGCCTTAATAATCGACACAATTCTCTTTGTTCATTCACATATAACAACAAACCTCACTTGGGCTTCATTTGGCTAACCCTCTTATGGTGCTTCACTTGTGTGGGACCGCACTCGTTTTTGCCCCCGGTTTGACAGTCGCCAGCCATAGGCTGGAAAGTGGCAGCAGAAATGAGATCGAACAAGGGTCCCTTACCAGCTAATATGTTCGGATTTTCTGGACAGCGGCTGAGACAGCAAGGAGGATTTCGGCGGCGAACTCTGGTTGCGGCGGGGCTGGTAGACAACGTCTATACCGGCGGCGGGACGGCTGGCGGTCGACGACGAGATGGTGACCGTGAGTGTACTATGTGAAACGGGAACAAAAGTGCATGCTGTGTGTATTCTTGTTTGGGAGAGATGAGGTATGGTAGGTGGGTTGGGTGGGTGGCACCCACTAAAGTAGGTAGGGTTGTGGGACTTGTATGAATTGATTGAATTACCCTTAATAAGTGGTCAAATGTACATATTTGACCACAATATGTTCATATAATTACTATATTGCCATTACATATTTGATTATTATCAATAAAGTTTGACTTCATTTTAACCATTGATATGGTGTATCCAATGGACCAGATTTATTCTTATTTCATTTCTAGAGCATCATTCTCATATGATCCTAACTCTCTCTCTCTCTCTCTCTCTCTCTCTATATATATATATATATATATATATATATATATATATATTATCATACAACCTATATAAATCACACATTAAAAATATATATTTTTGAAAAAAAAATATCTATTTTTTTAAAAAAAAAATGTGCTAAATATGTGAATAAATTTATAAAAGCTAAAATTTATTTATCAAATGGATAACATTTCAAGCATTTACAATTATAATAAAAGAAAATAAATTTGATGGGTTAAACTCTACCAATTATCGAACAATATGCAAATTATGGATTGTTAAAAGAATATAAGATATATAATTTTAAGCATTGATAGTATTTATAAACTAATATGACATTCATATATTAAAAGTATAGACAACCAACAATTAAATAAAAAGTAAATATAAAATGATAAAAATATTTTATCAAAGTTTATATTATTATCGATTTGATGTATTCGATAGAATAGACCCGACATTTTATGTAAATAACTTAACAATATTAGATACTTTATGGTTAAATATCGGTAAATTAGTTATGAATATCAAATATCATATATAGATAGATTATGCAACATTGATTTTGTATTGTTGTATGAGACCAAAATCGCAGCATTAGGATTATTTTTTGAAAAAAATGCAAATCTTATGAAGCAATATGCAATTTTCTCTCTTTATTAGAGCTTAAAGTTTTATTTTTTGAAAAAAATGAAAATCTTATGGAGCAATATGCAATTTTCTCTAGAGCATATGCAATCTTTTAGGTCTAATTTTAATTGTGGCAAGTAAATAGACTTAAGTCTTGGTGACATGGACAAAAATATATAAAAGTAACAAAATTGACTCCAATGCAAAGAGACTAAGGCTATGTTTGGTAAAATTAGCTGATAAGCTAGCTGATAGCTGATAAGCTAGCTTATAGCTTATATGTAATTTTTGAGCTTATAGCTTATAGTTTATGACTTATAGCTGAAAAGCTAGCTTATATGATAAAAGGTGTTTGGTAAATTAGCTGATAAGCTAGCTGAAATAAAAAAATTCAACTAGCTTATTTGAAAAGCTACCTAAAGTAGCTTATGAAATAAGCTCGAGCTTTTTAAAAAAGCTCGTTTTACCAAACGAGGCTTATTTTAAACAGGGAGCTTATAAGCTAACTAAATAAACTAAAAGCTAGCTTATTTGGCTTACCAAACATACTCTAAGTCTCTGCTTGAGTCTAAATTAGACTTAAGAGTAAATTAAGTCTCTTTTTTCTGCAACCACGTGAGGTATATAATTTTATGAATTGAGTCTATATTTTACTACCAGTATATTTCTTTGAATCAACCCTAAAGCTCAAAATTTTTGGACTCCAAGCATCCTTTCCCATAATGATATGCATAACCTATCAACAAGTGTTTGAAATGAAATTCATCGAACAGGCATTTTGCCCCTCGAACAGTTGAGCGCAAATCGACAATGGCGGATGACTGTCGACTCATCATTCCGAAGTTTCTTTCACCCGATGCTTGCAAGGTATCCCTCACAACTCGCGCTTCTTCGTCACCTATTATCATGTTCAATCCTTCTCCTTCTTCTCAATTTACTCTCGAATAGGAATTGGAGTTCATACACAAAAGCTGTTCCACAGTTGGGTACAGGCCGAACGTTTTCTCGACCACACTCCCTCATCTTATTGCCACAAACTCTGCCCATCTCATCATGCCCCTTGTCCCTATCCGAGGTTCTCACCTTTCGTATCCAGTAATAAGAATAATAATTATAAATTGTACAGCTGCGTTTGTTGTTTAAGTTTTAACTAATGCAATTGAATTGTATTTAGTCGATGATCGGGATAGTTTGTTGATTTGTAGAGAAGTTGAAGGAAAAAGTGGAGGAGCATTTTGGATGTGAGTACGAATTGGTAGTGGAGTTTACTGGACTTATTAGGTATGTTAATGACACTTGTTACAGAGTATATAGGCTTTCTTCCCACGATGTTATTGAGTCTCAGTATTATTCCTCTCATTTCCACGCCCCATGAATAAAGGGTGAGTACCATGGTGTGTTTTGTTGTTGTTGTTGTTGTTTTTTATTTTTTTTTCGGTTGTTCTACTGAAGAAGTTAAAGATACAAATGGAGTTCTTGTTGGTGTGATCTATTTGAAATCATGGTTCAGGCTGAAAGCTTTAGTCTTATGTTATATATTGCTTATGTCAGCTGGTGCAAGGGAGCTAGCATCGGATGGCACAGTGATGATAACAGAGATTATCTCAAACAAAGGGATTTTGCGGTGTGTACATTGCACTTTTTCTATTTCATGTTTTCATGTTCATTCGTTTTCTTATTGTGTGTAAATTGGGTTGGATTCACTTTGTTCTTTTCAGTCCACATACCTTTACCCATTTTGCAAATACCATCCTTTTTAGCCATTTTCTTAAAACTATCCTTTTTAGCTATTTTCAAACAGGAGGTAGTTAGCCGACGAAAAATGGTCATTTTCATCCACAAATGACTAAATGACTAAGAAACATGTGTTTGGAAAAAAAAATGGCCAAAACTGATGTATGCTAAAGAACAATGACTATTTTGGTCCATTTGCACTATTTTTTTGTTCAATCATCGATGCTTTAACAATTAATATGTTATGTTTGAGAAAAATAGGAATGATGATGCACCATTGAGTTTACTCCATTTCTTAGATACACTTGTCACGGAAACCTGGTTTTATGTGCTTCATTTCTTGTAGCTTCATCATTATGTATGCTTCTTTTGGCTATTATGAGTACTGGCTTTCTCGTGCAAGAATTTTCTTGGCTAGTAACTTTGCGGTTGTATTTGTGTAGCAAAGTTAGTATGGCTCTTTATTTTAATCCCGGTGCTCTTTTGCATTTTGTTATTTTAGTTAGTCAGCAAAGTTAGTATCGCTCTTCATTTTAATCCTGTTGGCATGTTGTTATTTTAGTTAGTTGGCTTATCTGTTCGACGCTTCATTTGTTGCTATCGACTAGTACGATTCTAGTGCAATGCACGAATAAAAGTTATTCATAAATATTTATAAATTAAAAATACTCATTAAATAATATTTATAAATTAATAATATGGAATCAATATATAAAACAATTTACCTATATTATTTTATTAAAAGAGTTATATGAAATTTAAATTGTGCAAA